AGAGAGAGGCAGGAAACAGGAGGGAGGAGAGAGAGACTGTAACAAATATCTCAGAGACTCACAAAATGTCACACACACTTTTAAAAAAGTTCAAACTTCATTCAGACTTTATGAGTCCAGTTTACTCCCAGTAAAATGGCTCTGCTGGTGCATATTTAGAGACACTGAAATAAGTAGGATGGCAGTACTGGTCAGATTTCGGGTAGGGCCTATAAACACCCACCACCACTGCCACCTCACATACCCGGCTCCCCTCTCGGCGAGGGGAGCTCACAGGAACAAGCCATCACAGTCTCTGCACTTATAAAAAGTGAAGGGACAATGTATAATACATACTGTCAATATAGCTAATTAAAGACAAAAACACATATTAAACTAAATTATGGCCCTACCCAGAAGCCAAGGACCTGTACATGCACTAACAAGAACCAGTACTCGTCCTTCCTAATGTAACAGCGTTGGCAAATATAAGAATACAGTGCCCTTCACACTGTTTGGGACAAAAAGTGATAATTTATCCATTTGCCTCTGCGCTCAGAACGGTGATTAATATAAACAATCGTGGTTAAAGTACACATTCTCAGATTTTACTCAAAATTATTGTCATACTTTTTTACAAAGTAGAAATTACAGGAGTATTTATACAATCCACCTTCAGAGGTGTGAAGGTGCCAATGAACTGATGTTTAAGGATTTAGACCTGAGGTTTTCAACTTAATTATGACCCATGGATCATCATTCTGAATAAGAAGTAACATGAGGACCACTGTTGTGGGGTGGATAAACTGGATATTACAAAGGTTTCAGTCAAGTTTGGCTTTTCTAAACTGTTTATATTTGCATGAATTTGATTCATCACAAACAATAAGTAATACATGCGTTATCAAATGCATGGTGAGGGACCATGTGCGATACTTTTGCAGACCAGTGGTTGAAAACCCGATTTGGACCATAAATCTAGCAAATAAACTTTGTAAACATGTAAATACCAAAAACTAAATTCCTCATAAACTTGAGTAGCATAAACTGAGAATGAACTGGTTACATCACTTAAACATCACTGTGTCATTACTGTACAGCAGGTTATGTTTTGTGAAATGTGTCAATAGGTGCCCCCTTCCAGGAACACTTCAGTAACCGTGTCACACTAGAGAGAAAGGACGCTGATATGCCAAGTATTGACTGCAGGGGCAGGAGTTATTTTTAAGACTAAGTGCATACCAGGAACAGCAGCTGCGGCTAGCAACTCTTTTCACTGGTAGAACAGACCTTCAATACAGCACCTTAAGATAATAAAATAATAAGAATAGTTATATAAATACATTTAATTGACACAAAATATGATTTATTGCATAGGACTTTTATTCCATTTACATTCATACATTTTTCAAATTCTGCAGACAATTACAAAGGTTTCACACAGAAAGACATCAACCCTTCAGACTAAGTGCATCTCACTTCTCTTCCTGTCAAGGTATAAATAAGAGAAGCCAGGAAGAAGAAGAGAAAGGAACATCCAGGGTTGTCTTCCAGTCATAGCAATACACTGCAGGAGAGATCAAGTACATACAATAAGCATTTTACATTTCTGAAAGTACACTGTGAGTGAAACTGTGTTAAAGACCTTAACCTGAAAACACTTTTCATACATTAAAATTAAAGAGCCAAGACCAGATCCAAGGCAGAGCCCTAAATGTATGTTCCAGGTAACATTAACTTAGCAAGGAGTCAAATGTGACCTTTTACATACACAGGAACAGTACAATCATTCTCCTTCCAGCCTAATGACTAGAGATTTCTCTGCTTTACAAGATCAAGCTATCATGAAAGCAGTGTCAAGACAGCCAGGCCAGCAGAAGTACTAAAAGTGAGCCACATGACTTCAGGTGTTTCATGAGCAGCCATGTAACTACAGACCAGAGCTGGCCCCACCCTCCTCACTACATACACCTCTAAACTCCACCCATTACATCACGTTCTAATAGAATATTAGAATGTGAGAGATGCAACTAACACAGCAAGAGGAAGCTAAAACTGTAAACTCCCTGGTATCAAGTATCTCCATTACTGTAATATCTTGGGTTAAATTTAAAACATCTCCAATTATTAGCTCACTGAAAAAAATTATCTGCAGCTACGGACAGATGGTAGTATGTTATTTTTAAAGCATATTGGCTCCTCGAGTTGTGCATTTACATGAGTTGCACGAAAGGCAGGTGCCCATTTACAGCGAACCAATTCAAGCTGGATTTCAGTTGTAAAGTTCACCTGGCTGCGGTGCGTCAACTCAGTAGCGTGTTACCTGTACATGAGAGCTGTTTTGACTTTGTACATAAGTGATGAAATAAGTCCCAAATAAAGTTTAGTTTGATGTCACACCTAAAGCTAAATACACAAGATTTGACCACATGTGTAACTGCACACAAACTACATCTTTTAAAGTTTGGTGTCAGTCTGTCCAGAGGCAAACTTGACACTTTTGTATTTGGCCTGATTAGACTTTGACTTGCCAATTTTACATAAAATAAATGTCACATTACTGTTTACAAGGCTAAATGTTGGCTCCAGGAAGTCTCACTGGTATCATGAATGTACACTACGTGAAAATAATAGCATTCTATAATTAAACTGACAAAAATATTTGCATGCCACTATGATCACCTGTGTGTTCAAGCTTGTAATGGTTCATACTTACCACATGCACACAAAAAATGAAAATGAGTAGCTAAATCTTGAATCCAAGAGCCCTCATGCACTCTTTATGTGCCTCGATTAGGTCTGTGCAATTTTCCTCTCCCTTTTCAATGATACTGAGGGCAAAAATAAATAATTACGTACATAAATGAGGCAATAAATATTTTCACTGGCATCACAGAAGCCTTTCAATCTCAGACCATACCAAGCATCCCTGACTTTCTTTGTTTCTGGACAAGCACAGCATGGTTTCAGTGGCTTCTTCTGCTCGGTGCTTTCGGTCACAGCACCGGACTCCAAGCTGACAGCAGACACGGTTGACATCTTCTCGCTGAAGAATAACAAGAGAGGATGCCTTCATTCACTTGACTGGGTGAATTAGAATATAGACTGATGTCAATTATCTCTAGATAAGGGCATATTTCACATCTAAGAACATGTGCCACAACCTCTTGTTTTGCAGTGGTCTTTCACAGGTAACATCACACTAGGAAAAGCACATGTATAAATAAAGTCTGATCAGCCTAAATTCTGTCCATTCAGCTGCTGTATTGTGCCTACTGGCTCAAGCCCCACTACCATGATGTATTGGGACAATACTACTAATAGTAATGATAAATTATAGGTCAAGGTCAAAGAGTCATATGGGTCATATAGGTCATATGCACAGTTAGGAAACGTGTTTCCCTGTACAATGAAATTCTTACCTTGCCGTCCACATGAATGCCACAAAATACAAATGAAATATAAAGTAGATAAATAAGTAACAAGTATAGTTGTTGATGCCATTCAAACACCCAAGCGCACCTTGAACAAACAATAAATATTACTGCTATTATTAGTAGTGCCTAAAAAAATCTGCTGTCAAAGAGGCATGACAAATGTAGAGCCAGAGGAATCACAACAGTCTATTGTAACATAACTAATGTATACAAGCTCAAAACAAAATGTGATTAGGCAGGTCTCAGAATTTACTTTCATACTAATAGAAACAACGGACTATGCAATAACTGAGGGTTTGGTTAATAATAGGCTACACAGTAATTAAATGTAGCCCTGCTTTATTACATTATTGCTCCGCAATGACACGGAAGGACGCTGATGTAACGTGGGCCAAGTTGAAAGCGCGCACACACACCTTGCATCATACACACACACCTTGCATCATACACAACCTTGCATCATACACACCTTGCATCATACACATCACACTAACAGGTCGAGCTGTTCATTTTAAATATCTGATTGACATGTGAAAGCTGCACACCAAAGCTAAACACAACCATCATGAGCTTTGCTATGATCTAATTTAGTTAGCTTTAGCTTATAGCAGGAAACCTAGCAGCTCGCACCATAGAGTCATACAGCTAACACAGTTAGCTAACAGCGACAAACGTGAAGACAATGTCGTCAATAAATTCGCTTTCATATGTCCCGGTTAACAGTGTTATGACAGACAAATGACATGGTTTAATTGTCGTAAACCACAGTGTAGTATTCAAAATATATGCTGACGAAGGCAGTGGCTAAATCATGTTATGTAACTTACTTATATGGAAGAATGCTAGCGCAGCTTCTCCTTCAAAGTTAAACCACCAAGAGACCAGCAACCTCACGTGTTTTCGTTTTTTTTACAAACTCACGCGATTAAAGGAGTCAGCGGAGACTTCTGGGATATGTAGTACTTTAAGCAAAGGCGGGTTGAGAAGGAATTTGCAACAGCACATCGCAGGTAATAAAGTTTAAAGGCGTTTAATAAAAGTTTAAAACACTTACTGTTCTAACTGTATTTTCTAAATCCTCAAAAACTCTTCTAACCATCTGGATGAAATATATTTCATCTGCTGCACAATTAAAAAATTTTGTAGCTATACTCAGTTTCATATCCAGTAAGTTGACAGGCCACTATATTTTTGGGGCACCACAGGCACATATAAAATGGATATTGTGATATTTTTAACACAGGACTTTCTTATGTCGTGTTTTCTGGTGAGTAAAAAACATTTTTGATCATTAAATTCACATTTCTAAAAATGTCAAGCCTTTAACTGTTGGAAAAACAAGTAATTTCACTATGTTAATTTGGATGATAAAGATAAAGGGCATATTTAACTTTTTTATGTTTTATAAACTGAACAATAAATATTACACTGTTCTTCAACCAATATGCTTAAAAACTCTATCTTTGCTCATTCTGGCTCACTGCAAGCAAAAGTGCTATCTAAACTGGCACTGGTTAATAAGATAAGGATCTGTCAATGCATGAACTTTGCTTGAAAATGACTACATTTTGTCAAATTATGAAGAAAAGATAAATTTATCCTTGAGTTGCATGAGAAATTGCACTCCCAGTGTTTCTATATGTATTCAGCTGATATCTTCCACTCCTTTTCAACCAGTGTGCACACACACAGCCACAAATTTCATCTGACCTATATAAAATTAATACCAATTTATCATTCACCTGCTGAAGAATGAAGCTGCTGCTACTGATTCTGTTTTGCAGAAAATTGCCACATTATCTTGCAACACTACCATTTAAGTTTGAGGGCATCAACACCACCATCATCATCCTTGATGCAGTGACAGTATGAAGTTTTCTAGAATAATTGTTTTTTCTACCAGCTACTATATTATATTCTGTGCTGTAAAGATATACAGTAGTTGCTGATGGGTGCAGTATGCACTACAGTGGCTTGGGACTTTTGTAATATGAAAAATGTACATTGTATGTCCTACAGTACTGAAGGTACAGTATGTATATTTTCACATGCACGCTGGGGTCTGTAGTGCGTCAGCACAGCAAGGTGGTGCATAAGCAGAGGTATGGAGTTACTTCTTATTTAAGGGCCAGCTGTGTGCTAGAAAAATAAGCAAGTAAGCAAAGTGTTTGTTAGCTCTGTACTGTGTAATAGACATACACCTGGATTTGAAACATTCTGCTGCAACTTTCTACAGGATATAAGATCCATATGGTGTGGTACTTAAAAAAAAACACATAAAAAATATATGTGGCACTGCTTTTATTCACTATCATTTCATCTGAAGTGTGTTTTTTATTTTGGTGTTTCCTGTATAATCTGCCCCCTGATGGAGGAGAAGTGTACGGTCACAGCCAAGGTCCTGACCATCTGCCACCTCCTATTTCTGTCTGAAGAAAATGCCCAGCAGCATCTAGAAAAGAAGAACTGTGAGCCCTCTGATTTTTCTATTTATATGTGCTATGCAGCAAACAAATGTACACGACTTGCAATGTTTATTGTACTTGTTATATGCAAACAGTTGAACACTGGGAAAATTGTGCAAAAAAAACAAACTGTAATCTCATATAACATCCCTTACATGCAATAAGCTGCCAGAAATTCACCATACCCACTGACATAACCCTTCAGTTAATCCTGTCTTAGTTAATTCCACATCTTATATCATTTTTTTTTCAATTAATCAGACTAACTTTCCAAGAAAATGAAAAGTTATGATCTTCTACTATTTAATGCTTGAAATGAAATCTTCCAGCTCCTGTTTTGTTTTGCTTCTGATGTGAAGTGTGCAAACAAACAACAGAGGAGCTCGGCTCAGAGCTGCAGGCATAGGTATCACATCAACTAACATGGGGCAGTGTTTAATTACATCCCTGGTAGAGATGACCCAGACTGAACTTGTCCCTGCACACGCTGCCAGATCTTTAGTTCACATGACAGTAATTGTGGTCATCTCCACACACACACATTCACATGTTATTGTCTTTAGTGTTAATGTGAGCTGGACCTTAGCTTCTTGACATGACTTGATTTGTATGGGGATGAGACACAGATACTGAATAGTTGATGAGCTGGGAGAAAAATAAAAGAAGTGGAGGGGTGGGGTGGGAGCAGAAATAGAGAAAGGCTGACAGGAAGAGAGAGAGGAAGCGAGGGAGGGAACAAAAAGCCAGGTGTCTACTCGCCTCACTCCACTCAGCTTCAGTAAACCCGAGGCTGGGAAACTTGATGGAAAATTACCTTGTGACTGAGAAGGGAGGTCAGGACTGGTAGAAGCAGCAGCAGGGGAGAGGATGGCCTGGGCCTTCAGCTGATCAGAGGGGACCAAGGTTGGACTATGGAGAAACTCAAAGGCCCATCCGCTGGGTGCACCGTGGCCACCTGTGGATGGAAAGCACTGCTTCTCCCACAGCTGAACAGACAGTCATTGTACGTGTACGGCAGCGAGGTGGCCGTGGAGAAGGAGTGCATCCGACAGTTGGAGAGTGGCGTCTTAGTCATTCACCCGTTCAGCCTCATGAGGTATTTAATATATCACACAGAGTCAGACTAGTCCTGTATTATTATTTTCTCCATTTTAGAGCTAAAACAATGAATTACTCAATTCATAGAGAAATAATCTGCAACTATGTTGATCATGAATTAAAGAATGCCAATCTTTTTTTCCCCCAGATTTGCAGTTTGAGTGTTTCTGTGGTAAATTTTACATTTGAAAGTTTTGTTTAAGGAAATCTAGCAAATTGATGGAAATTGTGTTAGGAAATATTGTTGGACATTTTTCAGTATTTAAAAAGAGTCATAAGATTAATCAATAATCAAAACAGTCTATTTATTGTTCCACTCCATTTTATTTGCATATAGTGCATTGCTAAGTAGTTTTATGAAACAGTGTAATAATAATTTGTGTTGCAGCAGGTCAGAAAACAGAGTGTAATAAGTATAACACAAATCATCAAGGCAAAACAAAGGTCGATTAGAATGACAAGCCCATTATAATGATTATGGGTCTTTAAGCTCTAGCTTTGTGATGTGATCTTTAAGATGATGCTGGAGAATTAGACCTGGAAAACAAACCTGGATGGATCAAATGGCTTCTTTAAGGAACAGGCTTTTACAGACAGCTGGTTTTGCATTCTCCATGCCGTATTGATATTGTGAGTCCGTAAGACGATCAGATGAAGTGAAAACAGAGAGGGAATGAAACAGCTGAGGTCAGAGAAAGAGTTATTTGAGCCCAGCGATCAAATCCTAGCTAAGATGTGCAGTTACAGTATCAAAGTGTTCTTTTTCTTCCAGTTTCGACTGTTCCCGTTAGGGGTCGCCACAGCAAATCATATGTTTCCACTTAACTCTATCCTCAGCATCCTCTACTCTCACACCAATTAACTTCATGTCTTCTTTTAGCACATCCATATATCTCAGAATCAGAATCAGCTTTATTGGCCAGGTGTGACGGACACACGAGGAATTTGACTGGTACATCAGCTCTCAATGTGTATGTACATGTCCCCATGCAAGGGGCAAGTAAACAGTAAACCAGAATAAGGCTGTGTAATATAACAAAATAGCAGAATTAACATCAACAAACAGTGCAAAAAATGTAGAAAAGGCAGTATAAACAGACAGTAAACAATGCAGACAACAAAGGAATGTTCATTGAAATGAGATAAATAGGGATAAAACAGAGTACTTAAGAACTAGAGACCTCTATGATCTGTACATATATTTACAGGTGTTGCACTGAGGGTTATTGTCCAGTCATGCTGTCGTGGGTTAAGTGTTCATTAGAGTGATGGGCTGGGGGAAGAAACTGTCCCTGTGCCTGGTTGTCTTAGTGCACAGTGACCTGTAACACCGTCCAGAGAGGAGGAGTTCAAACAGATTGTGTCCGGGGTGTGAGGGGTCTGCAGTGATCCTCTCCACCCTCCTTTTGACCCATGAGGTGTACAGGTCCTCCATGGAGGGCAGGCTCACACCAATGACCTTTTCTACAGTCCTGACTGTCCGCTGAAGTCTGTTCTTGTCCTGTTTAGAACCTGAGAAAAACCAGACAGTGATGGAGCTGCAGAGAACAGACTCAGTGATTCCTCTATAGAACTGCATCAGCAGCTCCTGGGGTTGAGACCAGTGACATCTGCAAACTTTAGGAGCTTGACAGAGGGGTCCTTTGAGATGCAGTCATTGGTGTAGAGTGAAAGCAGCAGAGGGGAGAGCACACATCCCTGGGGGCACCTGTGCTTATTGACTGTGCTTATTTCAGTATGCATAAATCAGCTTGCCTTACCACTATGACTGTCTAATGAGTCTTTCTGGTGAATTAACTGAAACATTCCACTAAAAACATACATGGAAAAAAAGATCTCAGGGTTGTTTTGTCATCTTTTTCCCAAAGGAGTTACTACATCATGGGCATGATGGCCATCACATTTCTGAACCTGATTGGGATTCCCATGGAGATAGCGTTTCTGGATGGGACCAGCGGAATGGCATGGGAGGGCTTTAACGTGTTCTCAGACACACTGTTCCTGATAGACGTGGCTCTGAATTTCCGAATGGGCATCATATCAGACGACAGCGAGGTGAGAGTGGCTGTACTCTATTTTCAGACACAATCTGGGAGACTATAATCCCTGCATAGAAAAGCACATAAAATCCATCTCTGCCCCAAATGTAATCTACTCAATACACCAAAAGTAAGATTGACATACCTCTCCCCCTCAACTCCTGAATGTGTGCAAAACTGGCTCCTGCGCTTTCATTTTCAACAGGGATTATGATTTATTGGATCAATAAGAAGTATAATATTTCCATCTAAGTATTATGTAGACTATATCCTGTTTGTTTTCATCTGCTCATGCTTTCTGACTTCTATCGTTCCAATCACAAAGAGTCCATCTGTGGTGTTTAGTCTGGACAACACAAGAATCTTGTTTTGCCATATTAATGTTACATTGGTGCTTGAAATATTCATGCATATGGTTCTTCAACAGTACAACAGTTTTGTCAAATTAATGCAGACTTTCTCTGAGTGCACTGCTAAGTTCATCTGACATCACCCGATCCCTTAGTTTTAGACAAACTAGCAGAATATTGGTACAGTTCAAGTGTCAGGTTACACGTGATTGTGGCTCATGCTGCATAGCATCTTCATCCATCTGCTCAAGCTGCTGCTCTGTTCTGTTTCACAGGAAGCCATTCTGGATATCAAGCAGATCCGAGCCAGTTACCTGAGGACATGGTTCATACCAGATGTTATAGCAGCGTTCCCAATCGGCTACATTCTCCTGTTTGCGGTAAAAATGAGCAGATCGTTGCAGCAGCAAAAAGTCATCAGTGTGCTGCAGATTTGTCAGCTCACAGAACAATCATGCATGTAATTTTGATTTGTTTGGGGTACAGTGGCATTATAAAAGAATAAAACAAATACATATTCATTTTAAATTTACCATCCCAGGGCTTACAATACCACAACAATGACAACCCTTCTAAGACCAACAAAGTGATGAGGATACTGATGTTTGTGCGGATCCTCAGCTTGATCCGACTGGCTCGAGTGTCCAGACTGGTCAGGTTCTTCAACGAAGTAGAGAAAGTAAGTTCAAACACCTGATAGTCTCCAAAGCTCACCTCGGAAACTCAGTCAACCTCCTGCTGCAGTTTGTTTACCAGTCGAGGCTCCGGTGACAAATCTGACTTTGACAGTGTCATTTATAAAACGAGCTGGCACATAAATCAAACGAGTAACTTCTATTTTTTTTGTTTGTTTGTTTTAATTTACCTTTTTCTAATCACAGGCACTCAAACATTAGGCAGCTTTGACCAGGTGCACCTACATTAGTTGTGTGCACAGTTTCCTTGGGAGAGTCAGAGATTATCACCACTATTTCAGGTGCACTCAGTTTCAGTGTTACTTCCAAATTAAAGGTATTAGATTATCTGGATAAATTGTTGGCTTGTTTACAGCCGGTCTGATCATTTGATCTTTCTTGCCCTGTTGGTCTTTGTTGTAACACTGTCATCATGTTTGTTAGGGGTGTGCATGTGAGATTGGACCCAAAAGGCAAACTTAAAACTCAGAGGAGTGAGATCAGAAAGGAATTTATTGAACAACTAAACCAAAAAGGGCAGAGCAATACAGAACTTGGGAAGGGTCAGGCAGGAACCAGTGGGGCCTGAGGGCAGAATGTTCAGGTAGGCTGGGTCAGATGGTGCACTCCAGGAGGACAAAAATGTGCAAGCGAGTGAGCAGGGGAGCGGCAGGTACCAGGAGAACCAGAGGGCCGAGACGTGCAGGTGAGTCGGCAGGAGGACAGCAGGAACCAGGAGGACCAGAGGATCGGGATGGGCAGGTGAGACAGCAGGAGGACGGCAGGCACCCGGAGGACCAGAGGACAGACTTATCTGGATGGTACATGAGGAGGGAACCATTTGAATGCTGCTGACGGTGTCACAGGAGGGAATATTAATGAGCAGGGGTGACCGAGGAGGGCAGGCTACCAGACAGGCAGGAAAAAACGCAGGTAGGTTCTGGAGGGAGGCCATTTATTGGCACCAGGTAAGCATGGTATGTAGCCAGAGGAGAAGACAGCAGGTAGGCAGGAGAATACAAGGTGATACTGCAAGAGCAGGCTGCTTGTAGGCATCGCAAGAGATGACACAGGTGAAGTGAAATGAAACGAAAAGGGCCAAAACAAAAGCACCAAGCAGGTGAAAAACTAGAGCAACCATAACAATATATTCAGTAATTAGTTTGTTAAACACAATGTTCTCATAATGAAAAAAGCAAGTGACTCTTACAGTTAATAGACTTGAGAGAGGACGTGGCTGACCCCAGGCTTTTGCTGCTGTATGGCACAAATGTCAACTAGCTAAAGTACCAGGATGACCTGTAGTGATGACCTGTATGATTTGCTTACCAAGTCATATTTCCTTGTCATCTCTCTGTGACAGGTGTCAAATGCAAACTTAGAGGTGGTCCGCCTGTTCTTCCGCATCTTGTCTTTGTTCATGATGATTTTCCTGCTGTGTCACTGGAACGGCTGCATCCAGTATTTTGTCCCCATGCTGGAGGAGTTCCCCACTGACTGCTGGGTCCGGAAAGAAAACCTGATGGTAAAACTTGTTTCCAAAAAAAAAGATTTTAAGTTGCTTGACAAGCAAAAATACCAAATATTCTGTGGTTCCAAGTTTCCTCACTGACCTAAAGAAATTCCCTGGATAATTATCCCAAGAACTTCTTTAAAATGCTTCACGAGTACAGAATGAAATCATTTTCCACAAATGATGTGTAGTGCTTTAGAAGTCTGTCTTAGTTCAGTGTGCTGCAGTACAGTCTTGTGTGAAAATTTGTTGTTGTAGTGAAGATCCCACATCTACATCACTAAAAGGTTTTTTTTCCAGAATGCCACAGTGATCGTGAAATACTCTTGGGGAGTATTTCGAGCGCTCTCACAGATGATTGCTCTCTCCTATGGCTCCATGGATGCTCCGACAAGTGAGAATTCTAAGTCTTTCATTATTCAGCACTAATGTACAGGCAGATGGATCACCTTCTCCTTCAGATATAAATACCCACTATTTGTGTTGGCATCTTGTCCCACAGATTATGTTGAAATGTGGATCGTCATGGTCAGCATGGTGTCGGGCTGTCTGATGTACACTGTCCTTGTGGCCAATGCTACAGCCATGATCGCTAACGTCGACCCAGCGGCCAAGGAGTACAAGAGCAAGGTCCTCATAGTTGACACTTACTGTCTTTCATCAGAAAATACAACACAGTAGTGAACAAGTAATCGTGGATTTATTATCGGTTACACAAGTTTGTTTGTGTTATTTTTAGATTGTTTCTTATTGATCCATTGGAAGTCTGAGCAAATTAATCACTACTGACATTTCAGTAGCTAATCTGCACAGCATGAGACAAAATAATTAGAAATATTACATTATTATAGAAAAAGAATAAAAAGGTAAGAATGATAAATTGTAAATATTATATTACTTGTAATATAGTAATAATTTAAATTAGAGTGTTAAAATTAATTTAATTTCTTGGATAATTATCCTGGCTTTTACAATCACTATGTTATTATTATGTTAATTAAGGGTATTCACTGTATTTCTTTCTTTATTTTATTATTATTTTTAATATTACTCTTTATTAATAACCTTATATATATCCTAAAAGCAATAGTAGTGACCAGTGGGAAAACAAATGGCTGGGGTCCTACGCAGTTGCTCTCAAAATGATGATTACTTTGATACATGTGGTGCCCCCTGGTGGTCCACGAATGCATTGCAGGTGGTCCCTGACCATTCAATAATGTAGTTTCACTCTAGGCATCATTATTGTTTTTTAGTTTAGTTTTAAAACAAATTTCCATGTGTTATTTACTGTTTGTGAATAATCTAATTCATGCAAATATATAAAACATAGAAGGTGACTTTCAGGATTACAATAGTGCCCATCTGTTTTATCCACTCCACAGCAGCGGTCCTCTGGTTACTTCTTTGTCAGAATGGTGCTCCCCTGGTCTAACTAACTGTGGTACTGTAAAGCTGTGTGTCATGTATCATGTGATTCCTACACTATAGCTCTCCACAGGTCAGCCGTCTGGAACACTACATGGCTTTCATGAAGCTCCCACCAGAGCTGCAGCTTCATATCAGCAACTACTACCAGGCTCGCTATGGAGGGAAGTGGTTTGATGAGAAGTACGTCATGGACACGGTGTCCTCAGCACTCAAAGAGGTATGACTGAATGCTCTGCACACTCTGCTGCTTACATTTAATTTGTTTTGATGCATTTTGTATTGAAGTTGTAGATATAAGGCTGCATCTAGTGTCTATTTCCCCACTGTGGGATCAATAAAGTACCTACCTAACTATTTTTAATATAGATTAATCCTGCAATCATGTTGCAGATTTATAGACTATTTTTGTCCAAAATCCAAAGATATTATATGTAAGAAAAGAGACAAGCAGACAACTACACACTCACAACTCACTGCTACTGGCAATTTAGAGTCACCAGTCAGCCTCAGCTGTATGTCTTTGGACTGTGGGAGGAAGCTGGAGCACCCGGAGAGAACCCACGCAGGCACAGGGGGAACATGTAAACTCCAGCTCGGGTCAGTCTGGGCTTGGACCCAGAACCTTTTTGCTGTGAGGAGACAGAACTGCCAATGCTACAGCCATGATCGCTAACGTCGACCCAGCGGCCAAGGAGTACAAGAGCAAGGTCCTCATAGTTGACACTTACTGTCTTTCATCAGAAAATACAACACAGTAGTGAACAAGTAATCGTGGATTTATTATCGGTTACACAAGTTTGTTTGTGTTATTTTTAGATTGTTTCTTATTGATCCATTGGAAGTCTGAGCAAATTAATCACTACTGACATTTCAGTAGCTAATCTGCACAGCATGAGACAAAATAATTAGAAATATTACATTATTATAGAAAAAGAATAAAAAGGTAAGAATGATAAATTGTAAATATTATATTACTTGTAATATAGTAATAATTTAAATTAGAGTGTTAAAATTAATTTAATTTCTTGGATAATTATCCTGGCTTTTACAATCACTATGTTATTATTATGTTAATTAAGGGTATTCACTGTATTTCTTTCTTTATTTTATTATTATTTTTAATATTACTCTTTATTAATAACCTTATATATATCCTAAAAGCAATAGTAGTGACCAGTGGGAAAACAAATGGCTGGGGTCCTACGCAGTTGCTCTCAAAATGATGATTACTTTGATACATGTGGTGCCCCCTGGTGGTCCACGAATGCATTGCAGGTGGTCCCTGACCATTCAATAATGTAGTTTCACTCTAGGCATCATTATTGTTTTTTAGTTTAGTTTTAAAACAAATTTCCATGTGTTATTTACTGTTTGTGAATAATCTAATTCATGCAAATATATAAAACATAGAAGGTGACTTTCAGGATTACAATAGTGCCCATCTGTTTTATCCACTCCACAGCAGCGGTCCTCTGGTTACTTCTTTGTCAGAATGGTGCTCCCCTGGTCTAACTAACTGTGGTACTGTAAAGCTGTGTGTCATGTATCATGTGATTCCTACACTATAGCTCTCCACAGGTCAGCCGTCTGGAACACTACATGGCTTTCATGAAGCTCCCACCAGAGCTGCAGCTTCATATCAGCAACTACTACCAGGCTCGCTATGGAGGGAAGTGGTTTGATGAGAAGTACGTCATGGACACGGTGTCCTCAGCACTCAAAGAGGTATGACTGAATGCTCTGCACACTCTGCTGCTTACATTTAATTTGTTTTGATGCATTTTGTATTGAAGTTGTAGATATAAGGCTGCATCTAGTGTCTATTTCCCCACTGTGGGATCAATAAAGTACCTACCTAACTATTTTTAATATAGATTAATCCTGCAATCATGTTGCAGATTTATAGACTATTTTTGTCCAAAATCCAAAGATATTATATGTAAGAAAAGAGACAAGCAGACAACTACACACTCACAACTCACTGCTACTGGCAATTTAGAGTCACCAGTCAGCCTCAGCTGTATGTCTTTGGACTGTGGGAGGAAGCTGGAGCACCCGGAGAGAACCCACGCAGGCACAGGGGGAACATGTAAACTCCAGCTCGGGTCAGTCTGGGCTTGGACCCAGAACCTTTTTGCTGTGAGGAGACAGAACTAACCACCACACCGCTGTGCCGCCCTGTTAGGATGTTTGGGTCCTTATTCATCTTAATTATGAGGGAAATGTTTTATAATTTACATTTGTTTTTCAGCAAATCCTGGCCGTGATGTGCGGCCATCTGCTGCGGAACGTGCCGATGTTTCAGAACAGAGATGAAAACTTCATCTGTGCTGTCCTCCCCAAACTGGAGTACGAGCTTTTCCAAGAGGGAGACGTCATCATCCAACAGAATGTCCCAGGTGACCGCATGTTCTTCATTGACCACGGCCAGGTCCTCATGGAGACTGATTTCTACAAGAGGGAACTCTGTGATGGAGACTTTTTTGGAGGTGGGTTGGGTTGTTTTGAATATCCAGAACACCGGTCAGTGGTTTGAAAAGTTTCAGACAGCAAAAATCAGGGAGATGAGAAGGAAGTGACACAGCATAAAAGATTTTCACCAGAATGTGTGAAGTTTTCAGCTACATTAACTAGAAAGCAATTTTTTCATGTCTCTAGAAAAACTGAGATCTAGCTCAGAGTCAGAAAAAGTCACATAACTCACGTATAACCAACACAAACTTTACAGTAACATCTGCATTACCTAGCACAGAAGTACAATACCCTACAATGCTATTTAAGTGTTAGCAGCTACTGGCTAATTTGTCTTCACCTACATTTTTATTAAGCAGTATCACAATGTCAGTAACTTTATAACAGGTTTCCATTTGTCAATTCAGATTAATACAGTATTATAAGTGTGAAATTAACACAAAATAGGTCAATTGAACTCTGTTTCTTGATGAAGTTTTCTCAGTGATCATTGTGTGTTCAGGATGTCAAATTAAAACTCAAGGTATTGGAAAATACTATTAAAAGCTCAGATTACCCACATTTTGAAAAACATCTTCTCACATTCTTCTAGCAGTATCTCAACAGTGGATAGTTTTTTTCTTTTTGTCCAGATTTTGTGATGTCCACCATTTTTTTTTCTGCCTCCACTCAATTCAGTGGAAGTGAAAAAAATGTTTTTGTGGTATTCAGAGCACTGAAAAAGTTCTTGCACACCATAAAATCTTAGTGACACACAAACGTCATGTTAATAAAGGGAGTTGAAGTGATGGACACTGTGCAGGATTCTTTGGTTTTCTTTTCTGAAAGATCAAATTGCAACATTTCTTCTTAGAAAAGCGTTCCTTAATCTACAGATGTTGCTGTCAGTTTTCACAGAAAATATTTTTGGTACAAAGTAGTTCTAGCTGGTCAAAGCCTTGCAAAATATCTACAATTTAAGTTAGCAGTTCAAATTCATTTTTGTTGAAAATGTTTCCAGGAAGTGTTGAGTTTTTATGTTGCACTATATGATCACTTGAGGACACCATGCCAAACTTCATGTAAAAACTGATCACTTTTGTGTGATAAAACAGGTAAGAGCAGGATAATCCACAGTTTTCACTGGAACTGCTTTGTACCATAGAAACTGTCCCTATAAAAATAGCTGGCAGCTTGTTACCTCCAGTGCTGAAGGTAATGTTTCTAGGAAAAAATGCTGCCATTTTTCAGTGCTATGAACTCTACCAACAAAATTCCATTCCCGTCCATTGCACTAGAGAAAAATGTCTGAGCTAGATATTTCAAAACTTGGACAAGTCATACCAGAGGTATCTGCATGGCCAGTTAGCACTAGAAACAGGTGACTTAGCTGACACTTCATTTACTAATACTGTCACTGCTGTGGACTGGAAGTAACTGATCCATTCTGGTGGGTTTGGATTTAAATTTTAGGCATGCACTGAAAAAAAAGATTTGTTGTATTTACTTGATTGTAATGTGTACATCGGTCCCACACAATGATAATGTGTAAAACCAACATAATTTTCTTTATGTTAACAGAGGAAATATGAATGAATTGCGTTGCATATACTAGCATCATTTGTGTAAATCCAAAGAGCCGGTGTTTCCTTTTTTTCAGTGTGTTTATTGTGACTATCAAAAGCCAATTGGCACTCACTTATGGGATACTTCTGTTTCCATGAGTGAGCAAGACAGATTTCTAAAAGCCACTGTCAAACCATGGTGAAAAAAAACTCTTTTCCAATTTGGAGGATTTATTTAGTTCTCAGGCTTTACATTGAGCAGGTCTTAGTCTTTTTGTTGGCAATCCTCAGCAGCATTTAGAGCTAAGCAGGAATCCACAAACAACTCAGCTAAGTCTGACTCTTTCATTTTGGATTAATTGTCAGATCTCATCTCTGTCAATAGGGTTCACTCACTCATTAACTACATTCTTGTGGTTCCCTCTGTGTGTACAACAGAGACATGTGTGCTGACCAAAGGCAAACATCTGGCCACAGTGAAGGCATTGACCAACTGCCAGTGCTTCTCTTTGTCCTGTGATGACTTTCAGGAGCTGCTGAAGGGCTTCCCGGACACCAAGAAGGACATAGAAAAAATGTTTCCACTCAGTTATGATGATGAACTTGTGTAAAGAGCAAAAGCAGCATTTGGACTTTTTTCACTGAAAGGACAGAAGCTACTGTATGAATATTTACAGGATG